CAATATTACTATTAAAATATTATATCCATAATTTTATAAATAAAAAATTACGATTATATTTTATTAAAATAAAATTATTATAAATTATATATATATTTATTATAATAAGAATAATATCATTAATTATATCATAATGAGAGAATATGAAACATATGTGTCGGTACATTTTCAAAAAGTATCGACACATATGTACATCGAAACCGATAATTATAATGTAATAGGGTTTACAATATAACCGTTATAATATTGATTTTATGAGAGAATAGGTCAACATAATGTATCGACACAATTTAAAAAGTGTCGATACATTTTGTTTATAATGATGTCAAACGAGGTGCACACATAAAGTGTCGATACATTTATTAAAAGTATCGATCACAAAAACATCGAACCGATAATTTAGAATAGGTAAATTTACAATGTACTCGGTATAAATATACGGTTTTATGAGAAAATAGGTCTACATAATGTATCGAACATTTTAAGTTTGTGTCGATACTTTTTTCCAGAATGAATGCCCAACGAGGTGCCACATAAAGTGTCGATACATTTAAAATTATATCGATCCCAAAACATCGAAACCGATAATTATAATGTAATAGATAAATTTGCAATGTTTTATTTTAAAAATAATATTATTATTTGTTAATAAATAATATTATATTGTTATCCTTTGTAACATTTTAAGTGTTTACTTAATATATTGTAATAACAAATTAAGTAATTAACAAAATAATATTATATAAGCGGTTATTACTTAACTTGTACGTTATAAAAAGTATTAATGAGTTTTTACGTCATTAAAAACAAAAGAATCCTTATAATAAATAAATAATCTTTGCAAATCCTTTAAAATTACGTTAATATGTATGTAATAATTAGATAATAAATATTTTTTACGATTCATAAATAATTTATTTTCAAATAATATTCTTATTATATTACATTGTAAACTTAATTACAAGACGCAATTATTTTTTTCGTTAATAAATGAATATAAAAAATATTATAATCAATTAACGTAGCTTTTTTTTATAACGTACAAGTTAAGTAATAACAAAATAATGTTATTACATTATAAACGTACAAGTTATTTTAAAATAACAAATAATAATTAACCAATTATGTTATTATTGGTAACATTTTAAGTGTTTACCTAATATGTTGTAATAACAAATTAAGTAATTAACCTATTTTATTATATAAGCGCTATCTATTACGTTATATAAGCGCTACCTAATATGTTATTGTGCTTGATAATGTTTCCAGTAATTAACATATTTTATTATATAAGTGTTACCTATTACATTATATAAGTGATACCTAATATGTTATTGTGCTTGATAATGTTTCCAGTAATTAACCTAATTTATTATATAAGCGCTACCTATTTTATTATATAAGCGCTACATATTACATTATATAAGCGCTACCTAATATGTTATTGTGTTTGATAATGTTTCTAGTAATTAACCTATTTTATTATATAAGTGATACCTATTACATTATATAAGCGATATCTAATATATTATTGTGCTTAATAATGTTTCTAGTAATTAACCTATTTTATTATATAAGCGCTACCTATTACATTATATAAGCAGTACCTAATATGTTATTGTACTTGGTAATATTTCCGGTTAAATGATATAACATAACTAGTCTAAATTTTAATCGGTCACTTATTTAACCTGTCACACCATTTTTTAATCGTTTTTTAAACGTCGCACAACATAACTTCCCCTCACTTATAGATATAATTGCACTTCTTTTTCTTCTGGCTTAATGGGTTGGATTGATTATATATTTTTTTATTTGTTTTTGGTATAAATAAAGTTTAAGTTAGAGGTGATTCTTTAAAATAGGGTCAAAGTATATTTAAGATTCGATTAGAATTTATATAAGAATTTACAGATTACGTACCAAAAGTGACGGTGGTAGAATTTGAACTTGGCCTTACAAACTCAAATTCTTATATCTCAACTACTTATGACAACACTCAATGTCAAAACTAAAACTCGAGACATTGTTTAAGCGATATCAAGTTGCTTACTATTTGATCAAACTCTTATTGGTTTGGATTTGATTCGATTTACCGATATAAAATTTTATGTTATATACAATTTTAAATAGTAAAAAATAGATTATTAATAAAAAATATAAAGAATTTATAATTTATAATATTTTTTAAATGAAAAATGATAAAGTTTAAAGTTTAAAAATTAAATTAATAAAATATATATTTTAAAATTTTATGGGATATTTTTTCATTCAATGCCCTCGAGACAAACTGCTACTGCAGTAGATTAATTCCAAAAGTTAAAACTTTTTGTTGGTACTCAAAATGTTAACGGCCACTGATATTAACTAAATTATTAATGAATTCTCTATTTTTTTGGGCCACAAAATTAATAATGAAATCTTAATTGCTAAGTATTTTGCAGCATTTGATTAGTGTTTGTTCTTTTCTTCTTTTTCTCTACCTTAGACTTTTGAAGCGTTATAGGCTGGATGATGTCTCTTTCTTTATCAAAGTGTTCTTCCAATCGGAGCCACCCAATTCCGAGTTCTTTTAAATAAAAAAATTATTCAATCGATTTTAAATTGTAATATCGATTTTTGAACAATAATATTTAATATCAATTAAAAGTACACGATATTTTTTTATTATTATTAATACACTGTATTCCGTTGATAATTTAAGGGAGATTTTTTTATTTTATTTTTTATTGTATTTATTTATTCCTTTCACATTTCATGAATTGTTTCTTACACTCTAACTTTATTGCCATACCTTCCTTTTAGTGATTTCTTTTCAATGTTGATGACAATGAAATCGGGTTGGTTTGGTTTTCACTTTAGAATGCTCATCTCTTTCCATTGAATAAAAAATAAGAATATTTTTAGGAACATTTATTTTATAATAATAAAACCATCATATAAGAGAATATTTTAACTTCATTTATCAGATATAACTAATATCTTATATTTATGAAACGATTTTAGTAGTAAAAATATGTTATTTTTTTAAATGATTCGGATTTAAATAATTTTATTTGTAGACGTATGTGAATCTTTTTAATATTAAAGTGAATTAGACAATTTAAATTACTATCAGGAGAAAAAGAAAGTGCGTTGATGTATTCTCCTAAAAGATATTAACAACGAATCTTATAATTTAATAATGTTGGACTCTTAATTTTAGAGATTAAAATTAAACCTTAAAACATAAATAGGAAAAAGGGTAAAGTACACAAATAATTCTTTCATTATAGGATGTTGTTTTGTTGAGTATCTAGACTATTAAAAATTGCAAAATAGTCCTCAACTATAAGACACTACTTTATTGAGTTCATCGACTATTAAAAGTTACAAATAGTTATTTGACTATTCATATGTTCCAAACTTGTCATTTTCTGTAAAAAAAAAGTTAGCAACCTTCTGAGCTAGATGTAAATGTGTTAACTGTATGATAAAATCTGATCCCGAAAATATTTGAGTTGTATTTTATAGATTAATTCTCCGTTTACGTGATACCATCGAGCCAATGCTTTAAAGAAAATGCGGTGCCATAATACATCATTAAAATATAATTTTTATCATATCTTAGTTGGCATATCAACGTCCAGCTCAGACGATCTTCAATTTTTTAACGAAAAAGAATGAGTGTAACATGTGAGTAGTAGGATGATCATTTTATAACTTTTAATAGTCAAATGATTCAACAAAACAACATCATATAGTCGAAAAACTATTTTATAACTTTAAATAGTTTAAAAACTCAACAAAGTAGCGTTATATAGGTTAGGGACAATTTGTATATTTACCCTAGAAAAAATTATAATTTTGTAATCTTTTTCTATCTTTTTTCATGCAGAAGGATTGACTAAAATCAACACAAGCAAGGGTCCCATGATGTTTATATGAAATAGAATGGACATTGGATTTTGGCTGTACTATTGTATGTTACTATATATATACTCCTGATAAAGTGGATTCTATACCTTTACAAATTGGCATCATTCACCTTTTTGTTTGCGTATAAGTCAAAGAATGATGCAGAAATTAATAAATGGCTCTAAAGCAATTGATTTGTATGTAATTTGGATTTTTATTTAGAAGTGTCGGTTTGAATTTTTGGATTTTGAAATATTATAATATTTATTAAAAACATGTATATAATTTTTCTAAAATTTAGAGACTATTAGATGTATATTTACCAGTGAAAATAAAATTAATATAATTATATTTAGAATAAAATTTATAAATGATTATTAAACTACGACAATAACTATAATGATAGTCATAGAAGTTTAATGATCATTAATATATATATATATATATATATGAACATCAATATCTATTCCTTAAATTTAAATAACATAAATTAATAGACTTAATTAAGTATTCAAAAAGTCAAAGTTAAAAGTTTTAATGACGGTGAATGTGTATAAAAATGTCTCCTAAACATCGATAAACAAAATCTTAAAAAAGTAATAAAAGGATTTGACATAGAGAAAATTCACTTTTTATTCTTAACTTTTAGCTATTGTTTTTATTCAACAATTGAATTTAGTTAAGGACAAGTAATGTGAATCTTACATTCCTATTTATTACACTATTTTATTATATTTAAATATATACTTATTTTTCATATTTTATAGTGAACAAACGATTTCCCAAGATGGGCTGATATGGGCTCCCAAATAACATCAAATCGGCTTGAGCCCAACTAGGAAGCACCGGGGAAATCATAGGCAGCCTATTTTCTTAAAGGTTACGTGGCGTATTACAATTGGATTGCTGTACATCCCATTCCGGAAAAATAAAACCCGTATAAACCGACACCCCGGAGCCCGGCAGCCACGGTCCTTGGAAGTTTCCTTGTAGGCGGATTTGAACACCGAATACGTTACCCGACCGGACCTGGCTTACTCCCCAAGACAAGCCTTTTTATATAACAAATCATCCCCTCGGGCCCAACTCTATACAATTAAACATTCCTCAGATTATTTGTCGAAATCTAATATCAATGGCCGGAGGAGGGACTGAAGCTTTTCCTGATTTGGGAAAACATTGCCAGTTTTCAGGTTGTCATCAATTAGATTTTCTTCCTTTCAAATGCCAAGCATGCCTTAAGGTACCCTTTACTCATCATTCTTTTTCTTTTCCTATTGTTTTCCATGTTCAATACATATATATATATATATATATATAAATATTTCGTTTGTTTTCTATGTAGGTGTTTTGTTTGGAACATAAATCATGTAAGTCTCACGATTGTCCGAAACCGGAACATAACAACAGGAAGCTGATCATATGCGAAATCTGTTCGACGTCCGTGGAGATTACGGGCAAAGAAGATCAAGAGAAGATTATATTGGAAAAACATGACAAGTCAGGGGATTGTGATCCAAGGAAGAAGAAGAAACCAACTTGCCCTGTTAGAAGGTGTAAAGAGATATTGACATTCTCTAACAGAACCGTTTGCAAGACATGTCGATTGGAGGTTTGTTTGAAACACAGGTTTCCAGCCGATCACGCTTGCAAACAGGCTTCCTCCTCAGCTCCGGAAGCAACTAGCGGCGGTTGGAACAAGAAGTTCTTCGCGGCGTTTAGTTCAAGAAATGCGAAGGATTGTGGCAAGAGTGGGTGGCCTTCATCAACAACTACTCCATCTTTAAAGGCCTATTAGGACTTTCATGCTTTTTCTCTTTTATTTTCTGTACAAACGTATAGATTGAAAAGGAAAGAAAATCTCCACATCTTTAATCTTCAATGTTAATTCTTTGGTTCATCAATAAGAATTTAATATTTAGTTCCTTGAACCTATGGTATTTTCGATACAAAGAGAGAGATAAAGAACTATAATCGCAAGTATTAAACAAATTTACCTCTCTGTTGACATACAAATATACATAGATGGAACCTCAGTTTCGCTTTGCTTCACTTGGAAGGGCCACGACTGTTTAAGAAGTAACATTTTAAACGTTGGGCTACATGTTGGCTGTTGTTTGCTTGATTTCTTCCGATGTGATGGTCTGCACATAACGAAGAAAAATATGCATGCATATTGTTAGAGCAAACACCACAAGAAAATTCTGCTATATAAAGGATGGTCGTAAGCTATGTGTCTCCGACTTTATATTTCTTCAAGTATCCGTACTCGACACTCATATAAGAAGTGTATACATGGCTAAATATATTAGTTGAGTTTTAAGTCAGTAGGTGTCGGGAGGTTTAGTGCATGGTTTTGGTTGGGACTGTTTGGAGGATAGTTTTTGGTGATGATGGGTATTGGGTGAGATGAGGGCGGTGGTGGATTAAGGGTTAGGTTCGTTCAAGTGTCAGTGGATTGCTAATGCCTTTGGGGTTAAGGTTTAAGATTATAGATTAAGGGCAGTAAGTGGTTGGTTTTGTTTGTGGTTACTATAATGTGTATGCATATTCCCTTATTTCATAATTTGCATTGCTAGCCCTTTGGTGCCGCCATATTGGGTCCACAAATCCATAATATTTCATTTGTTTCGAATACAAAATATGGGTGCTTTATAAAATAGAAAATATTAGTGACAACTTTATAGGTAAAGAAATCTAGAATCTCTCTTTGGGACTTGATCACTTTAGTTTGATCACCCAAAAGTTTCAAAATAGATGTACATGTCAAATCAATGCCCGCCAGTTATGGTCACAATTCACTGTTAATGTACATATTGAGAGTCAGGCAAGCATGCACTTGAATTTACCTATAAATTTTGTATGCCATTATTAAACAAATGTTGAGATCAAATGTATAAAAATATGCCCTGGTTTTGATAAATTAATTTCGATCGATAGTGCATATGCAGTGTCAATACCAGAAACTTAGTTATCCAGGGATCGAAGTTACTAAACCCTAGTTATATTTAGTATTAAACCATAGCATCAAAGAGTTTCTTCTTTATGTGCACATACAGTCAACACGCTGGTTGATTATTAGTGTGCTAGAAAATTGGAAACAGAAAAAAATAATAAAAATAATATCAATACATAATAAGATATACATAAGAGATGAATTTTGACGTGATTCTATCTTATCTACTTCTATAGATAAGCAGAACAATAAAAATACTTAGAATAAATAGTATGCTCGATGATCTCGGTTATTGATCACCACCTTATCAGTTTTCTCATCAAAGTTTCTTAGTATTTCTTCTTTTCATTTCACCAAGCTGGAAGAAAAAAAGAATTGTATAAAAGACTGATTAACAATGATAATTGATTAAGTATAATTATCAGTTGTATCAAGTTTATTATTCATGGCAACCTCATGAATATCCATGATCAAAATATACTTTTCTCAATAATTTAAGTTATTGAAAGATAATATTTATTCAGAATTTTTTTAATAATAAAGTATATATTTATGCATACGTAACTGTTTTAACTCGAGATCTATAGGGAGAATAATACTCTCTTTTATTATTAAGACCATTTGATGGTTCCAATGATCAAAATAGTTAACTTTTGCAAGAATTAACACTTTTAATTAAAGGATAATAGATTTGAATGTCCAAGTTATAAGCACAAGTTATAAGCATGAGATGAAAAAACCTAATACATACACAACAAAAAGGTACAGTCTTCAGCTATATATGATGAACATGGTAGATCTGCTTGATTAAAGCCTTTACCATACCTTTACTATTTTATCTTGTTAAATCTTAAAGCATAAAAACAGTTGAATATATAACAGATGAGCTTGGAAGAAATGCAGAAAGTAAGCTCACAAAGTAGTTCATATTGAAAGATTGAATTGCAGAAAGTAGAGAGATCTCTTACAGAACATATTGAAGAACACAAGTTTTCCCAAACTATAGGAAACAAAGTAAAAATCTGCTTGGATGGAGCAAATATTTTCGGACCAAGATGCTTGATTCCCCCAAAAGAAAGTTCACAAAAGAGTAGTAGAAGAAGAAAGAGCCATCATCGCTGGGAATAAAAGCTATCTGTTGCTTTTCTTTCTTTGATAAACTCTCCACCCATCTCTTGTAAAAAACATGTCCTTTAGCCTTTGATTCTGAGCTTCTTCTTCTCGCTTTTTGTTTTGATGAAATGATGCTGACATGCTTTGAAGAAGACAGTGGAAGGGTTTGTGATAATGATAAAAAAGGTGTGTGGGAACTGGGAACAATGATGGCGATGGAGAGGATTACGAAAGAAAGGGAACACTATCATTGCCGCTTGGTTGTGGCGTTGAAACAAACAAGATTCATGGTTTTTTCTCCTCTCTCTCTCTTGTCAGACGAGAGAGGGGGAGAGGAGACAGCGAGGCAGATTATCAAAATCCATGAACATCCCTTAGCTTTTAAACATGGCATGCTTTAACCCTAGGTTTTAAATATTAATTAAATTTAATAGTGTTTTAACTTTAAAAAATTTAACAGTGTTTTTTTTTCAAACAAATTGAAAGTTTCCCCAACAACTAATAAATTTCTTGTAAAGTTATTTTCTTTTTTTGGGGTGATCTTTTTCCTAGGTGGTGGTTGCTCATAGGTGGCATGTAGTGCATCAGAAGAGAAAAAATAATCCATTCAGACTCAACAAATGAGCCTCGGGTTAACAAGTTCTCCTGGAACAATGTGGCCGCCGATGTTGGCTTCTCTTACAGCAACTGGATACTAGCTCCGATCTGTTGGGGCAATCGTGGGTTGCTCGTCTTGTAAATGCCTTATTTGTTGAGAATAAAAAGTTGGAATTCTGAGGCATGTTAGAAGTGGGTCAATTGGACTGGAATCTTGGAAATATACGGTAGTCATTATTATTCCTGATGCAGATGCTTTTTCAATGTTCAAATGATCCGTAATTACTGCATTTAATATTTTCACTTTCAGCCTTAGCTGTAAAGTCTAATTTGTCCAGCATTTCAGGTATAAAAAGGAGTTTTAAGTCTGATCTGAATCAAAGAATTTCTTCTTCTTTTTTATCATATATATGGACACACTGAATTCCAAATATTATAATCACCAACTGCAAAATATGAATGTTGTCAGACTTAAGCTTTAACTTTGAATTTTTCTTTTAATATTTATGATTTTTTGTGTGTAGTTTTCAGTGGTAATATTGTCATCAATATTTAATATGAATTCTGAGTTACAAATCTGATGAGAGTTTCATGCTGCCATCATCCCAAATATGAATTGAACCAACTAATTTTCATACTCATATCGGACTAAGCTGAATCAATTTATATTTCTTAAATAAAAATTAAAAATATATTTAAAACAATTAAAAAATAAATCATAAATATCTATATTTAAAATAATTAAAAATAATAATAAATTGATTAAGTGAACCAACTCGATTATGCATTTTAACAACCGACAAAACCCAACTTAATCGAGACCATAATAGATTTAAGCATGGGTGAATCTAAAAGAACGGAGGGGCTGATTTTTAATTATAATTTTTTTAGAGAGGCAAAATGTAATTTTACCATTATATTAGCTTTATAATTTTTCAAGGATTAAATTGAAATTTTACTATTTTGTGGAGCCACGAAACAATTTTTTCAGAACTTTAACCGGAAACTTTACAATTGTTAAGGGACTTAAACTGTATTTTTTTTCATTTTGGGGGCCAAGGCCCCTTCTCCCTGCTTATGTATGAAGCTATTGACACTAAAGATGGTTTGGAAACAATAGTTGAATGACCATTTTATTTCTTTGAAATTTGAACATGAACCATAAACAATACATATACAAAAACTTGTTTGATTCATTTACAGGTTTTCATTCACTTATGTAAGAGCATGGAGTTCCGCTGTTTCACTTATCCATGGTAAATTTGTTCCTGTATATCAATGGGACGAAAAATCAATTAGCATATAATATATAAGCAAAGCAAACAGCTTTGATACTCACGTATGGTATTTGAGGTATTGATCAACTGTTACAGGTTTAGGGCCACCAAACCAGTTAATCATAAAGATGTCTTCCATCTCCAATTTGAAAATTCGGAAATCATGATCTCTAGGCCACCCTGTACACTCCCACCATTGCAAAACTTGGTAAGTAGAATAAACATAAGTTACTCCGACTCGAGTGTATTGTTGAATATTGGTGTATTCATATCTAGATATTGCCAGATACAAGGGCTAAGAATTACCTTTCATCTCTGGATGCTTTGTGAACAGCGCAGTTCGAGCAAATTCCACCTCTTTAGAGTTTGCATCAAGGAGTACCAACTAAAACACCATACGGCACAATGAAATTAGCTTAGAAATCATTAAAAAGCTCATTTCGTTCTCCTGTTTATTCTTTCTTTTTATCCTTCCAACCCTTATAGTAGTAAAAAGGTATCACTTGTCGTATGATTCGGATCAACATACAGAACTTAATCTTTATAAATACGTGAATGAACCAAACTCGAAGAACTAGAACAACCTCGGGAGTTTATTTATACACACACACACTATGTAACAAATTAAGCTCAAAGCAGGTGAAAGAAAACTGGATTTAGCAATGTACCTTTCCCGTCAGTGTGATTTTTGCACACACAGGGCTTTCTGGGTCGGCATTGCCACATGTTCCGAGCGGATACTCACTGATTGTAAGTGAAGACCGATGGTCTTTTAATGCATTTCTAGCTGTTGGATCAAGGGTTGTTAAATAGAAATACGGGACGCCGGTGCTTTTTTCCGGGTACCCCGTCACTGAATGAAACAACATTCCTGCAGAACAAGTTAACATTCTTGACACGTCCATAAAAGTAGCTCTAAATACCGAGTGTTTTATTCGAAAATGAGAGACCTACTGTATAATTGTGTGTCATGACATTGCAAATACGCATCTCAAGGAGAACTAAAGATAAAACACCATGTGAATTTTCAAAGATTGGTACATAAACTACATATCAATGATTAAAGAGCATTTTTATGCTTTTTCAATGGCATGATGGTTGATTGTTACCACCAAGGGTCCCAAATACAAGCATAAGCCGAAGGAAGGAACCGAATGTGTTCAGAATGAGAAAAAATTACCCAAATGGTGACCCTCCCAATTCAATTGATATTGTACTGCAAAATTTAAATGAAAAATAAGTTAAACCAAGAACACAAGTGTTAATTGCTTGTGGATTAGATGATTATTCAATGATTGATCTTTGAGCAAAAAAAAGAAGTCAAAGCTTCATCTTTTGAGAACTAAAATCCAAAATTCAACAATAACAATCAATTGGGTCATCTAATCAAACAATTGAAGAACAAAGAAAACAAAACACAGAATCCAAATTACATATTACAATCCCAAAACAAGAATCAGAACAGCAATCGTTTCGTAATAGTCAAAAAGAGAAAGGAAGAAGAAAATATTTACTTTAAAATCCCCCAAGAATTCTGCGACACCAACCAACGAGCATAGGCAGCAGCAGCATCTCTATCAGGTTTTGATTCAGCTAATAACCTTCCATCTACACTTCCTTGAAAACCCAGAAAAAACAAGACCATAAAGCAGTAAAAGAAGCCTTTGTTTTCCATTTTTTAAATATTTTTTGACAGAAGAAGATGAATATGAAGTCGACTCGACAGTATCTGTATCTAGATACGAAGTTTTAAACTTGGAAGACGAGTATGGGAAAAGGCAACGAATTTATCGCATTGGGAAAGGAAAGAAGATGAGGTATGTTGTAATCCTATGCTGCGAGGCACATGATATGGAACAGTATTATTGGTTCTTAATTCTTATATTGTATCTTTCGTCAAAGTCTTCAACTTTGCCCAACATTTTCAATCCTAGATGCTTAAACGTGTGAATAATTGTAGTTCTGCAAACATGGTATATATTGTAATGAGTTGTAGGAGATCGATTTGAACCTGAAATGGATTAGCTTGAGATTGATTTGGTTGAATTCGGTGGTTGTCAGTTCTGAATGATGATATACGACGTAGAGACAAGAATGATAGCTGAGCAGACAGTACAACAATGATGTTGGATAAAACTAAGAATTAGTAGAAGGATTTTGGGATTTTTGGGATTTTATGTTAGGTTGAATTAATAGATTTTTTAAATATAAAATTATGTTGAATTACAATTAATTTAATAAAATGAGTAAATTTTGAGGATTAATATTATTATTATATTATAATTATGATTAAAATAAAAGTAAAATATAATTTTAAAAAATTAATCAAATGATAAAATAAATGAATGATCAAATAAATAGGTTATTCTGAAAATATTAATACATTTAGGGTTTGTTTATTTGAATGTAATTAGTTTTTCGAAAAATGAATTACTACAATTTGAATTACTGAAAAATGAATTAATGGAATTTAAATTCTGAAAAATGAATTACATTTCTGGAAAACGTTTTCCGGAAAATGTTTTCCGTAAAATGAATTACATTTTTCTTAAAAACACCTAGAAAATATTTTATGATATTTGGAAAATGTTATTTAAACATTTTTTTCACTAGTTGAAGAGTTTTTTAAAAATTATTTATTACAAATATTAAATAAAATAAATAATATTATTTATCATAAAAATTTTTTATTATTAAAAATAATTTATTTATTATTAAATAGTATTTTTATAATTTTATTAATAAAAATATTAATTTTTGTATATTTTAGTGAAATAAAATATTATAAATATTATAAATTATTTATTAAAGTAATAGTGTTATATTATATTTTAAAAATATTAATTAGTATATTTTAAATATTTTTATTAAAATATTATTAAAATATATAAATAATATTATTCATTATTAAATATATAATTTTTTTATTATATATTATTAAAATAAAAATATAATATCTTATATTATTATAATATAATTGATTATTTTATATAAAATTAAAAATATAATATTATATTATTATAAATATTAATAAATTAATAAATAATATTTTGATGAAAATAATATTAAAATATTTTATTTAATATTAAATTCATAAAATAAAATTATTTTGAGTATTTATTATTTGAAATGAAAAGTTCGGAAAATGACTTACGGAAAATGAATCTGTAAGTCATTTTCTAGAAAACACAAAGGAAATTATGTTACTAGGAAAATGAATTACGTTCCGGAAAACGAATTACGTGAAACAAATACAGGAAAATATTTTCCGAAAAACGAATTACGTGAAACAAACACGAGAAAATATTTTTTAAAAAATGAATTACGTAAAATAAATACGAGAATTCGAGAAAAACTAATTCCGTAATTAGAATTACGAGAAATAAACAGACCCTTAGAGATAGAAATAATCTTTGGCCAAAAAAATTAATAAGAATAGTCTCCGTATGACCGAGTCCAAGTCATTATTTTCAGCCTCGGCAGATTTACATGCATTTCATTGGGCCCTTTTCGCTAGGATCTCCAATGAAATAATGACACCTGTTAGTTTTGTAGTTCTAACTGGACAGGTTTCTTTTTTTTATTGCATATAAAGTTTTTCCCCTCTTTTATAGTCAGACCCAGGAATTTGAACCCAAATCACCCAAGAAAAAATAGGGAACAAGTCAAAATGGCGGATCACGATCACCATCAACACCACCACCACCACCACCGTCCCAACCGCCTCTCCGTCCCTCCACGAGCCACCGGATTCACAACCCAAACACCCACCCCGATATCTTACCCTTCGTATTCCTATCCTTCTTCCATCACAACCCCAATTGCAACTCCCTCGAAACACCGCCTTTCCCTCCAGTCTTACAGTGCTTCCTCCTCTTCCCAAAAGAAAACCTCCCTTTCTTTCCTCCTCTTCCTCCTCCTTTCCCTCCGCTCTCTTTACTCTCTCCTCCCTTTCATCCGCTCTTCTTCTCATTCTTTCTCACTATTCCCTTTCTCTTTCCTCGTCTCTTTCCTCACCTTCCTCCTCTCTCTCTCATTTACTCTCTTCTCTAAAAAAAGCCCCAGAAATTTTTCTAATTTCCCAATTTATTCTCTCACCAACTCTCAGCTCAAACTTCTACTCTCTAAGTCTTTCCTTTTGTCGATTATCTTACTTCTCAGGTTCCAAGCTCTTAGATACTGTGGCACAGCTGCTATGATCTTAGCTGAACTATCCGGAAACCTTGCTGGCAGGCTTTTTTCCAAGGAGAAAAACCCGAAGAAAAGGTCTCTCTTCATTGGGTTTTGCTTTTTATTTATTGGATTGATGCTATTATCTCTAAGTTGGGATAGAGTAGATTGTTTTCCTTTAAATAAGACTGGGGTTTCCATGTATCCTAGAGAAGGATGTGTTAGAATTTGGCCTATGTTATTGCCGTTTTTATCAGGGTTTTTAGGTTGTTATGAGAAGGTTTCTATGGACTGGGGGAGCATTAGACAGCTTGGTCCAAAAAGGGTTCGATTGATTTCATTGTTTTTCACTACACTTATGCTTTTTGTTCCTGCTGTTGTTAGTTTCTTTGTTTATGAAAGTGAAGGAGGAGGGAATATTTCTATTGATAATTTAGGTTGGCCTTTGGTGAACATTGTTGTCTTCGGAGTGATTTTGAGTGAGAATTTCAATAATGATGATGATAAGTTAATGAGTTCTAAGGATTTCCGGAGGGAGTTTGTGGTTACGTTCGTTTGTACCATTATATTGGAGTTGTTTTATTTTGAGGAGCTATCACTCTCAGGATTGTTGTTGTGCGGCTTGTTGCTGTACATTGCTGTTCGAGAGCTGGATCCTGTTTATACGAGTTATATTGAATTGGGGATGGAATCTTCGGAGACTTCTAATATGTCAATATGGAAACCTATTCAACATATATTGAGTGAGCGAAAGTCTCGGAAAATTGCATTGTTTCTGTTGATTAATACTGGATATATGGTTGTGGAATTTGTTGCTGGCTTCATGAGTAATAGTTTGGGGTTGATATCAGATGCATGTCACATGTTGTTTGATTGTGCGGCATTGGCTATTGGGCTTTATGCTTCTTATATTTCACGGTTGCCTGCTAATAGTCAGTTCAATTATGGCAGAGGCAGATTTGAGATTCTATCAGGGTATGCTAATGCAGTATTTCTAGTTCTAGTTGGGGCATTAATTGTATTGGAATCCTTTGAGAGGATTTTGGATCCTCAAGAGATATCAACCAACAGTCTGTTAACTGTCTCTATTGGAGGGCTCCTTGTCAATTTGATCGGTTTGATATTCTTTCATGAGGAGCATCATCATGCACATGGCGGATCATGCTCGCACTTGCATTCACATTCTGATTCCCACTCTCATGACCATTATCATCAACATTCACATGATCATGAAAGTCATGTTGAACATCATGAGTTTATAAATGTTTCCGATGGATGTCATGATTCTTGCTCCAGCCATGAACACCATCACAGTAACCAACATCGCAGCAACAATCACCATGGCGAAGATCACAAGAAACACGAGTTTCATGGCCACCATGATCATCATCACAATCAAGCCCCAGATGATTGTGCCTGCCATCATGATCACCTGACCATGGACATAAACATGCTCATAGTCATAGTCATGAAAACCATGATTTTGCCCACCATCATGATCACCATGACCATGGACATGATCATGCTCATGCTTATGCTCATGACAACCATGATTATGCCCACCATCATCATGATCACCATGACCATGGACCTAAACATGATCATGCTCGTAGTCATGACCACCATCATGATCAAGGCCTGCACTCCCATACACACTCTTCCGAAACTAAAGGTCATTTACCGCAGAAGCACCAGCATCGACACATAGACCACAATATGGAGGGAATCTTTTTGCATGTTCTGGCAGATACCTTGGGAAGTGTTGGGGTTGTTGTATCGACCCTCTTAATTAAGTACAAAGATGGCTTGTCGCTGATCCTGCATGTTCAATATTCATTTCAGTTTTAATTATATCATCAGTTATCCCATTGCTTAGGAACACGGCTGAAATTCTGCTTCAAAGAGTTCCAAGGGCGCAGGAACAGGGTTTGAAGAAGGCCATCAGTGATATTACAAACATGAGAGGGGTGCGTCGTGTTCAGAACTTGCATGTATGGAGCTTTACAAACTCGGATATCGTTGGAACAGTTCACCTTCACATAGCAGCAGGAACTGACAAGGCTGCTATGAAATCACGAGTGTCGCATATCTTACATGATGCCGGAATCAAGGACTTGACGTTGCAAGTTGAATGTGTGGAACAATAGTAAACTGATGAGCATGGAAACTAGTAGCTCATTCATTGTAGGACTGAATCTAAACATAATCAAAGTCAACAGTTGCTCCGATTGATATGTTGTTGTTAAGGAGTGCGGCTTTCTCGGTTCTATCTTGGAGCATTCATATACTCATAAGAGCCGAGTTCAGCATCCATGTTTTACATCAAGGAATAGAAAGGAAAGTATATATATATATTTGTTGCAGATGGGGTCAGGGGCAGTGTCTTCAGAACTAAAGAGGACTGTTAAATTCTCACAGGTTCAGGTGACTGAAATCCAAACAAAAATATTTAATTGGTAATGTAATGAAACAAGCAGTGTTACATTATTTCCTTTTGTGTGATTTGCAATCCTTTTCTTTATTTTATCCTTCACCAACTTCCTTATCTGAGAGATTAATGGATGGGAAACCTACCATACAGTCCATAAATGAGATATCAACTTATAGACTCTTTTATTCGGTATTTAGCCCAACTTTTTTTTAATAGAGCCCAACTTATTTTTAAATACAATTAATTAGATGTTCATTTTGGTGGAATTTAATTTTTCTATGCTTAGGATTTAACTTCACACCGAACAGATAATATCATTCATTACTTCATGTTAATAATATCTTAATCCATTAACGCATTTAATAATTATTACGATAAATAATGAATTAATTAAAGTGATAAAAACACATGGTAGCTAATCCCATTGGTATAAATATGGATGGTCTTGGGTTTGATGAGTCTGGTTTTTGGTTTATTTGAATTCGATTTAAAAATTAATTTTTTTCACTCGTACAAGTTGACCTAAGTTTAAGGGGGTTTAACTTGATTCAAAATTTGATCAATTTTTAGGTCAAAATTCACATTTAATTTGACCTATATATATATAATTTATTTTATTAAATAAAATAATGATCTAATTGAAGGAAAAAAAGAGATATTATTACAATTATATCTAAATATATATATAACTATAATACTATGTTGAGTTATGTCAATTTTTTTTCCACTTTAAACTTGAACCTGACTCTATTCAATCATACTCTTAAAAAATTCTGACTCGAACATAAATTTCTGAAAAAAAAAAAATTTAACCGGTCAAATTAAGTCGGAACCAATCAAGGTCCTGGTCAAATATACATCCCTAAATATAAATTATCATTTAAACTAAAAAAAATTAGTAAAAAAGAGATACATTTATTTAATACAGAATAATTTTTAAATAACAATTGGGCGGTTGAACCAAATTAGCAGTGATTTAGACATTGATATGACTTTGAGTCAATGGAGCAGCTGAAACGGTTGTAGATTGAAACGGGGCGGCAGACAACATCGTATTTGGTCTGAACAAAGTTAGTTAAGATTGTCACTCAAACCAATTGAACTCCTTTCAGTGTCCAAACCAAACTTAAATCCCAGATTTGAACTGAACCAAATCTCACTTGACTATTTTTTATTTCCCTATCTTCTCTGTAACTAAGGATTTATTTCAGAAGATCTAGGGGTTTTGTAAATGGAGATTTCGGAAGAGAAAGTGGTTGCTGTGATCATGGTTGGTGGACCCACCAAAGGTAACAACTTTAGCCTTTGTCTTCTTCGTTTTCAGGCGATTTTCTCGTTGGGTTTTGATTTTGAGGATTGTTGTTTTTCTTACTTGGATTTTCTTCTCTCTTCCAGGGACTAGATTTAGGTCTTTATCATTCAATACTCCAAAACCTTTGTTGCCGTTAGCAGGTCAGCCAATGGTTCATCACCCAATTTCTGCTTGTAAACGGGTACTATTTTCACTGCCCTCTAATTAATTTTCTATATAAATTTCAAAGCAAATTGTCGCTTTATTTTATCTTTTTTGTTATTTTGATCTTACGTTCCATGATTCAACGAGTTTGTCCTATGGTCATTCCTACAAATTAACATATATTTAGACATTGGTACTAGAGTATGACTATCTAAATATATGAAAATAACTTCAGGTAAAGAACTTCAGGTCGGACATGTATCACACTCATTCTCTAGTCTGAGCCTCTGAGGAACATAATGTTTTCTTTTTTGTTGTAATTTCAATCATAATGATAATATTCATTGATTTTCCATGCCTTTGTTTTTGTTTGTTCCATAGATACCGAACCTGGCTCAAATTTTTCTAATTGGATTTTATGAGGAGAGAGTTTACATTATATGTCTCTTCGATCTCTAATGAGTTGAAAATACCAGTGAGGTGATTAGTGCACTGATTTATTATATTTTTTCTGATTTTAAGCTTTTTACCTCTATGATGGATCTCACTTATATTATCTTTTTCTTTGGTTTTCAAATTGATTGAGTTAGATACTTGAAAGTGTTAAAAGTCAAATAATTTAGGCACCAAATGGTGCTTTGTCAAAGTAAAAAATTAGGCACCTAATTTTTGTTGAAATTGGGTAATGAGATAATTAATTTTAGTCATTGTAATTTAGGGTATTTATAAGATTAGTCCTTAAGTTTCAACTATAAATACCCTAGCTCATATAGCTTCAAAATCATCCCAAAGCATTCTAGCTTTCTTCCAATACTAGAGAGATTTTAGAGAGTTTCTTGAGAGTTGTTTTCTCCTTTTTATCTAGAGAGAATTATCATTGTTTTCTCCTTGGTAGATCGAGAGAGGTTGTAATTCCTATTTTCTCATAGTGAAATTCTTCTACCGTTGCCCGTGGTTTTTACCCTAAATTTTTAGGGGTTTTCCACGTAAATTTTGTGTCTCTTTTATCTTCATTTTTATTTTCTCAAATTATCAGTTGCGATTTTGCTCTATCCGATAGCCGTCTTCCGCAATAATTGGTATCAGAGCTAGATTAGAGTGTGTAATATCTGCTTATTGTCTTTGTGGTTGCCACCAAAAAGTGGATCCTCCAACATAAGAAAGTAAGAAGTTATTACCCATTCTTTGAAGGTTCCAGAGATCTATTCACGATAGTGAAATAGTGGGAGTTATCCGTAAAACGAAGCAATGGCAACGAAATTTGATATTGAAAAGTTCAATGGGAGAAATTTCTCATTGTGGAAATTGAAGATGAAGGCCATCCTGAGGAAAGACGGTTGTCTAGCAGCTATCAGCGAAAGACCAGTAGATTTCACAGACGACAACAAATGGATCGAAATGGACGGAAATGCTATGACAAACTTTCATCTAGCAATAGCAGATGAAGTATTGTCAAGTATCGAGGAGAAGAAGACAGCTAAGGAGATATAGGATCATCTCACCAAACTGTACAGGGCCACATCGTTGCACAATAAAATTTTCCTTAAGAAAAAATTGTACACTCTCCGTATGCCAGAATCTACTTCAGTGACGGAGCACTTAAATACACTGAACACTTTATTTTCTCAGCTTACATCCTTAAGCTGTAAAATATGAGAACAAGAACGTGCTGAACTTCTACTTCAAAGTCTATCGGATTCGTACGATCAACTCATCATCAACTTGACAAACAGTAATGTCACCAGTCTAGTCTTCGATGACGTTGCAGCTGCTGTTCTACAAGAAGAAAATCGGCGCAAGAACAAGGAAGACAGACAAGTAAATCTGCAACAAGCAGAAGCGTTGACAACGATGAGAGGGAGATCAACAGAACGTGGCCAAAGCAGCAATCATAAACATGGTAGATCGAAGTCGAGGAGCAAGAAGAATTTAAAGTGCTACCACTGTGGAAAGAATGTTCACTTGAAGAAGGATTGTTGGAGTCTAAATAAAAACTCCAATCCACAAGGCAATACCGCAAACACTTCAGATGATGGAGATGCTCTATGTTGTGAAGCGTCAACCACCATGGAAGACAGAAAAAGATTTGCAGATATATGGCTCATTGATTCGGGAGCGACATATCACATGACATCAAGAAGAGAATGGTTCCATCATTATGAACCTGTATCAGGAGGATCTGTGTATAGTTGCAATGATCATGCCTTAGAGATCGTTGGTGTGGGAACCATCAAATTGAAGATGTATGATGGAACAATTAAAGTTGTTCGAGATGTGCGGCACGTGAAAGGTCTGAAGAAAAATTTATTATCCTACGGATTGTTGGATAATAATGCTAGCAAGATTGAAACACGGAAAGGAATCATGAAGGTGTTCCGTGGAGCGCTTGTGGTGCTGAAAGGTGAAAAGATAGCTGCAAACTTGTACATGCTGAAGGGAAAGACATTGTTAGAAGCAGAAGCCTCTGTTGCCTCATGTAGTTCAGATTCTGCAATGCTATGGCATAATAAACTTGGACACATGTCAGAACAAGGAATGAAAGTCCTTGTGGAGCAAAAGCTACTTCCAGGCTTAACAAATGTATCACTTACTTTGTGTGAGCATTGCATAACAAGTAAGCAGTACCGGTTGAAATTCAACACATCAAATTCTAGAGGCAAAAGTGTTCTAGAATTGGTTCACTCTGACGTATGGCAAGCACCAGTAACATCCCTAGGTGGAGCAAAATACTTTGTCTCATTTATTGATGACTACTCAGGAGATGTTGGGTGCACCCTATTAAGAAGAAGTCAGATGTGTTTTCAACTTTCAAAAACTTCAAAGCGCGGGTGGAACTTGATTCTGGAAATAAGATCAAGTGTTTCAGAACAGATAATGGAGGAGAATACACAAGCGAAGAATTTGATGACTTTTGCAAGAAAGAAGGCATCAAAAGACAGTTCACAGTGGCGAACAGTCCTCAACAAAATGGAGTGGCAGAGCGGATGAACAGAATCTTGTTAGAAAGAACAAGAGCAATGTTGAGGGATGCAGGCCTAGAAAAATCATTCTGGGCAGAAGCAGTCAATACCGCCTGTTATTTGGTGAATCGAGCTCCATCAACTGCAATAGAGCTGAAGACACCAATGGAGATGTGGACTGGTAAACCAGCTGATTATTCAAACCTTCATGTATTTGGAAGTGTCGTGTATGTGATGTACAACTCCCAAGAAATTTCAAAGCTGGATCCAAAATCCAGGAAATGCAAATTCTTGGGGTATGCTGATGGAGTAAAGGGGTATCGCTTGTGGGATCCCACTGCCCGCAAAGTGATCATCAGTAGAGATGTTATCTTTGTAGAAGATAAACTACAAAGAAAAGAAGACGATGATAGCGCTGAAAAGTCAGAGACTACTCAGATACATGTGGAAAAAGAGTTTGAAGAAGGAGATTCTTCTGAAGCAGAACCAGCACATGATGAACAAGAACCAGAGAGTTCTGAAGCTCCAACAACTCGTCAATCAGATCGTGTGAGAAGATGTCCCAATTGGCACTCAGATTATGTTATAGAAGGTAATATTGCATACTGCCTTTTAACAGAGGACGGTGAGCCATCAACATACCAGGAGGCAATAA